ACGCTTCGTGACCCCATTTGGGATTGTTGGCAAAGATACTGGAGGGCTTGCCATTTCCTTTTCCAATGGATCCATTTTGTCAGGCAATCAGAGGTTAAGTGATTTCCTTAAGTAACCGTTAGGAAGTGTCAGGCTAGCTACAAACTCAGAGCTTCCTGACTCCCAGCACTCTATCCACTGAGCCACCAGTTGCTTCCAGCAGGGCCACTGCCAGCCACCCTGACCTATGTCTTGCCACTGGACTCAGATTACACAGGAGGAGAGAACAAATCTGATGACTCTGAACAGCTCTGCCTCACTCAGATCCAATTCACTTGCAAATCAAGACATCACTGTCCTGATGTTATTGGTCCTCTTCAAGAAGGAAGGACAAACAATACCAAACTGCCTCCAAGTGTTACTTCTTAGGTTAAATTTCACAAAGTACAAAATGGGGAAAGTAGAATGGTTAGATAGTAACTCATCTGAAAATGTCAGGACTTCTGTAGAATGCAAGCTTAATAGAGGTCAACAGTGAGATTAAGACAGCAAAGAAAGCTACTATGATTGCAGCCTACATTAAGACAGTAAAGAATAAGGAAGAATTCATTGTACTCTGCCCTGTTCAAACCACATCTGTACTAATACGTGCATTTCTAAAAGAAGTGATCCTGCCTTTGTGATCAGTACTTCCTTTAAAAAAAAATACATACTTCACTGATGCCTTTTGTACCTACGACACAGTGACTTCCCACCCACCTCCTGGCAAAGAGAACCCTCCCTCTTGACAAAGAGTTATGACAATAAAATCATTAACAAATCCCATCTGGGTGTCCTTAGCGTTCCATGACAGACTTGGCTCATTGTGTCTTCTTGACCACACCACATTCTTGCATTCACCTTTCATCACTTGTCCCTGCATCCATCCTCTACACATCTTTTAAAAATCTAAATTGGTCAATGAGTTAGTTTCTCTGAAATAACCATCTCTTTTCCTCCTTTTTAGAAGTGTTTCAATTCAGAATTTCATTCTTGGGAGCTTCTTACCATGATGACCAGGGCTGACATTTTAGTCCCTGGAACCTCATATCTATCTTTTTTCTAAATGGCTTGTAATCTGTTTTCCCTAAATATATGGTGTCTATAAGATTGTTTCTAGCTTTTTCTATCATATAATTTAGTATGGAATAGTCACTGCTCCCAAGGTTCTCATGCTGACTACCTTATCAACCAATTCTCTCTACAGCAGGCATTTTTTTTTGTTATGAACAAAGAACAGAACTAGGATCAATGAGCAGATGATGCCATGAAGAGATAAATTTCAGTTCACTATACAGTCTTTCTAAATTGGAATGTGTTGCCTTATTGAATACACCAAGAAGGTAGATGAAATAACAGCCCTTTTCTGTGGGGTCTATTTAGGAATTGGCACCCGATAGCTTTGATCTTCTCAATAACTTAAAAGGTAAGCCCACTGTTGAGAGGAAGTGGAGGAGGGGATAACTTAGGTGTTGTAGAGGAGATGATACTTGCTATAGTCAGTATGGAAAATGCACTAAGAAATCAAACAGATGAATTACAAAATTTCCTTGATCTTTGCCTTCCTTTTCCTAATCTCTTAACATTTTTAAGCCGTGTAGTGCTTATCATTACACTAAAAAGAAGTACAAGTAATAATGATGATAATGACAATAAACTTTAAAAAAATACCTAGCTGGGTAGAAAAGCTCAAGTTTTTAAGTGACTTTGTAAAATTATATGAATTTATCTATACTACAGTTCTTACATGTTACTATAGATTACTGCATTAAGTGGTTTAGGATAATTACAACAAAAGCTGAATGTAAGCTCTAGTTTAAATCACAGTAAGCACACATGAGAATGTACAAAATATTATATACTGAATCAGACCAATGGTGCTTCCAAACTGAGGTTCTGTTGACAGGAGTTAACAGAAAATGTTTTACAAAGAGTATGGTAGTTGACTTCATGTCATGTTGAAAAGATTAATCCTGCTTAATTTTCAAGACAATTATCCATCCATAAATCTACTGAAATGATACTTAAATTTAGTTATTTTCTGTACCTCTTAATCAGTTCCATATGTTTACTATCTACAGTTTATAAAACCTGTAAAATAAGTCAGTCAACAAGCATTCGTGAAACCTCTACTTTGTGCCCTACTGTGCTAAAGCTGTGTAGACAAAGAAAGACAAAAAAAACCAGTCCCTGCTCTCAAGGATGTCGCAGTCCAATGTGAGAGACAACATGCAAACAACTATGTACAAACAAGATATAAGCAGGATAAATTGGGGGTGATTTCAAAGAGAAGGTACTAAAATTAAGGAGAATTGGGAAAGACTTCTTACAGAAGTTAGGGCTCTCTTCTATAACTCTCTTTTTCAAGCTTCTATGGGTACCCCAACTTTATGAAATAAAAATTTAACATTTTTATTTACATTACCTAAATTTTCTTTCCTTCCTCCCATGTAACATTTTTTTAAAGGAAAAATCAGCAAAACCAACCAACACATCAAAAGTTATGTTTTAATAGTACTTCTTTTGAGCCATGTTTAGGATTTGCAATTTGAAAACACTGTTTCAATTGTCTGATGTTGGTTGTTCTTTCCATTTACATTGTTGCCCCATACTTCTAATAATCTAGATTAGGTTGCATAAATCCTTATTTATCCTACTCATAAAAACCTTAAACTTTCACAACATTCTTTCTTAGCTATAATTCTTGTTGGTTGATAAGTCAAGAAACTTAATCTTTCTAATCCATTCATATATGGAAGTGCCTATTTCCTTAGTCATTTGAGTTCTCCTCATATCTGTCTTGTATTAAGACCAGAATTGCATATAATGTTCTATTTTATATAACAAAATCATGCTTCCCATCTTATTTCTAATACCTATTTGAACACAGTGGTAGAAAGGACTGATTTCTTACATATTAACAATAACCTTAAGGCACTTTTCAAGATTTGTAATGAGGTGCAAAGTCCAATTTTCTGTAATTTGGGTTACTTTTTCCCCAGAAATATTATCACTGTATCCTTGCTTAAGATGAAGAGCATCTGCTCCATCTACTGTTGACTCAAAATGTTCTGAGTCACTCCTGTTTTTAAGCTCTATAAGTTTAGCATTTCCTTCAGCATACTGTCATCTGCAAACATACAGAATTTTGGTTGCACTCTTCCTTCCTTCTTACTACTTATAAAAATGTTAGTATATGACCCAGGCCAAGCACATATTATTGAGTAATAAACACTACTTGAAAACTGTACTGTTTAAAGTGGATTTTTCTCCCTATCCTTTGATTCCAAACTTTAAGTCAATTCTCTACTACAGGAGTAGGGAACTTACAGCCTTGAAACCACATATGGCCCTGTAGGTCCTCAAGTGTGGCCCTCTGACTGAATCCAAACTTCACAGAATAAATTCCCTTAATAAAAGGATGTGTTCTGTAAACCTTGGACTAAGTCAAAAGGCCTCACCTGAGGACCTAGAGTGTCACATGTGGCCTTGAGCCTGCAGGTTCCTCACCCCTGCTCTACCCTTTGACACAACATTTACTCCAAACCAATGGTAACTCAAGTTATGCTTGAATTCTGGAATAACATAAGAATAATAGGATAGAGACAAGAATATAAAATAACAAGGCAGTCTGATCAAGGAAAAATACTGATTTCTCTTTCTCTTAAGTACTTTAGTCTGATATCTGGCATTATTCACTTGGACATTTTATCACTTAGTACCTACTACTGTCAATTATCTCATGGGTTAGGTACCTGCTTGCCCCACAAAAGATTTTAAACAAAAAGATAGTGTCTAATACATCTTATTCTGCAGAGCACTAAGCTCAAAATAACAGCTACTGAATTTAAACTCTGTAAGACATTAAACCCCTACATAAATCTTCCTTTTGTTTAAAATTAAGTACACAAATAACTTACGAGTAGTTTTAACTAAGAAAACCAGAATCATACTAGAATTTGCCAGTCCTGAAGACAGACCATTACCAAGTAACTTACCCCCCTCCTCCTTTTAAGCTTTCCTTTCTTTAGAAGCCTTCTCAATTCTGTATTGCTTCAAGTATTTAGATGCTAAACAACTGGCATTAACTTCCTACAAAGCAGGAATCCTGTTCCTCTTTCGGTGAAGAACTAGCTTTGGGAAAGAACAATGGTGTAGAGTGGTCTTCTACTAATAAGCTGGGTGACGTTGGACAAGTTGCCTTCTCCAACAGGCCTAAGTTTCCTCTTCCAGGAAAGGAAGAGATGGGATGTGATGATCTGACGTCCTATCACTCTGCAACTTCAAGAAGCACAATTCTCACAGGAATAGCACAAAGGTGCAGTTTTTCATTGTAGTTTTCTGGGAAGAACACCATTCATAACATCATGCATCTATTTCAAACACTGACGCTCACTAAACACATACACTTGTTCCAAAGCCTTTGTTACCAACAGCTTCCTTCCTTCTGGCCAACGAGGAAGGGCAGAATCTGGAAAAGCAAGAAATGAGCACGTGTGTTTTGGCACTTCAACACCTTTCAGCCAAGAGATCTCCAGCCCCACAATGTCAAGGCACTCACATTTACTGGCAGCACCCTGGTGACAGAGACAGTTCTAGGAACCTAGGTACTGCTCAAATGAGGAAATCCTTTCATTCCCATATCACTTTAGTCCACTAAAAAAGGTCTTACAAGAAAGAAGAGAAGGCAAAGTCACTTTACTCACATCCTTTGTGTCTAACCAATACCAAAATCCAAAAGTTATCAGGAATTCACCTGCATACATTTCACACTCCTTGACCTTCTTTCCATTTAAGGAACACTGAATATATCTCATCCTCAATCTGCACTGGGAATTAGCATAAGTTTTGGAATGAATTTCAGCATTTTAAATTTATAGAATCATGGATGATAAATGAAGGGAGCAGAACATATAAGAAAATATTTTTAAAGAATTGAAATAAGCTGTCAATATTTTTCATTCAGGACTTTGTTTACTCACCTAAGTAATGTTGTGGATGAAATGGCATAGGCTTACTAGTCGCTGAATAATATCCAACGGCTCTCTTAAATCGAGTAACTTTGTCATCTGTTCTAGACTGAAACAGAAATTAAAAAATCTTTGTAAAACCATTATGCCTCTAATCAGGTATATTTTTAAAAAATAAAAACCCTCTTGTGCCTCTAAAGTTATTTTTTAAACATTGGTTTAGAAGTTTAAAAGTATTCTAAATTATTTAAGGAAAAGCAAAAGGTATTAAGGAAGAACACTATCTAGCACTAATTATTTTTAAGTAACATGGTTGAACTGACATAAGACTGAGAGAAGAGGTATTGCATTAGCAGTTCCATTATCAACTTGTACAACCACTTAAATCCTTGAGGTATTTCCTTCCCCATCTGACACATGGTGCTCAATACAAGTTATACCACTGGAATATTTGCCAAGTGTTCGGAGTAGGGGGATGAGGGTTGTTGTAGTACCAAAATTCACCATCCTGGTATCAATTTATTTCAATTCTTACTTTGGGGGAAGAAAAGATATAAATGCCAACTAACTGGATAGAAACACAATAGTAAGCCCCTCCAACTGGCTCCAGACCATGCCTGTATAGATTACATAGTAAGGATCTAGAAAGTGATTTTCTTAAATGCTTAGTGCATGGTGGAAAGGACAGTGAATTTATAGAGCAGAAGGACCTGGGTTAAAATCACAATTATGCCATTTATCACTTATTTGTCTTCACCAATATATACCTGAGTTTATCAAGTATAAAATGAGGAAGTGGAACCAAATGACCTTGCCCTTCCTAAAACACACACCCACACACAATATGGCAAGACTACTCAAGAATTAAACCAAATAACCAAATAGTTTATTCCAGTTAAACAATCAAAAGCTAGCAGATGCCCAGGGCAAACCATGTTCAAGCTCTGTTTTACCTGTGAATGTTGAAAAACATCTTTAGCTATGGCATCCAAATCAGTGGTATCCTGAATATTACGAACGTAATCGGCAACAGCTTTGATCACTACATCACAAGGTGGTAAAACTAGCTGGTGAGCCCGTACCTAGGAAAATAAACAAATATGTAAGCAAACAGGTCAAAGAGTCCTTAATGGTGATCTAAATTCATAACTAAGGTTCTGACGATTTCTAATACTATGAGTTAACATTTTAAGATCCCTACCAGCACCACCACCCCTAGCTGTAATTCTACCTAAAAGCTCTTAGCATTGAGATTATTTCAAATGTCTCATTCCCAGCAGCAGAGATATAAACGATATATTTTTCCTTTAGATTTTTCTACTCTAAGAAAAAAAAATAAGGAATCATTAATAAAAACAAAAATCCCACATTACTACTAAATAATGCTTAATGGTTCATCTTTTCTTAGACATATATCCAACACTGTGATGATGGTATATAAGCTGATCACTAAACTTAAGAGGTTGTTTGATTTTGGTATTGGTAAAATTCCACTACCATGAATTTCACATCCAAATGCTGTTCTCAACATTTTCAGAAATTACATTTCTAGTTTATAGGTACTAGAGATTTTAAAAAGCCAAAACACCTACTGCCTTGCTTCTCTGTAGTTGAGAGTGAAAAGTGCCCTAAAATCAGTACAAATAAAAGTGGAAGGAATTCTACCAACATCTTTAGATTCTTGTGCATAACTTTCTTCCTATTATTTATAACTACATAAAAAAGCACTAATATCACAGTCCCTTGAGGGCATCCCAGTAGAGGAGAAAGGCAGCCAGTCAGGTGTAGTTTCTAGTACCAAATCTGAAACTAACTAGGAATATGACCTGGACAAGTCAATTAATTTTTCTAGGCCTTAGTTTCTTCATCTATAAAAGGAAGTCCTTCTCAGAGCTAGTGTTCTGTATATCCAGAATCATTCAGGAATAGTATGCATGTACGTACGTATATACGTGTGTATATATGTATGTATGTATGTATGTATGTATGTATGTATGTAGCACAGTAAATATAATTTCAAAACAAATTCTATCCCCCCCCCCGATTACAGAAAGCTATAAAAACAGCTTTTTTTGTCCATAATGGTGATTACAAATAGCATTTGTTATAATGGGATTATATCTGCATTTATTCCACGTCCTGCTCCCAAAAGATAAAGATGCCAGTAAACATAGAATTTTTTGAAATTAATTTTAAAAATAAGGCAAACTAAAACCAAGCAGTCAAACCATAAATGTTTTTTTAAATATCTTTTGATCCATAAAATTAGTTTTCTTAAATAGAAAAGTAGAAGAAATTAGTTGTTTTTCCCCTGGGAACTTTATTCCCCTCATTTAAAAAGCTATTGTTTGAATCCAATGCATAAAACTGGACAGATAGCCTATAATCATAGTTGTATCCCACAAATCCCTTAAACTGCCTAGAATGGCTAATGATGACGCTCCTGTTTAAATATTTAAGAATTTGCACATTATGGGCAATTTGTCAAACAAGTATTCTCAATTTTGCAAGAAAATCATGAAGTTGTAAGGCAGAGCCTGTTCATTTCAGCATTCCACCCACTCCCTTATCTCTAGGAGATCCCTAATCAGTTTTCAGAAGAATAAAAATTTCTGAAGTCTAAGAGCCCTATTTAATCTGCTTTGGTACCTTACTTTTGATTTTTAACAAATGTTTGTTAATTCTTCCTCACAGAAATGAAACTCTCAGGGGCAGCTAAGTGGCACAGTAGGTAGAGCACTGGCTCTGAAGTCAGGAGTACCTGAGTTCAAATCTGGCCTCAGACCAAACACTTGACACTTAACTAGCTGTGTGACCCTGGGCACTTAACCCCAACTGCCTTAAAAAAAAGAAAGAAAGAAAAAGAAAAGAAAAGAAACTCTAAGTGAATTTAAGTTCATTTCATTTCTATGGACAGCAAAACAAGATCATTCAGTCACCATTATTTCTTCGTAATCTTTAAGATCAGGAATAACTCACCCCTCACCCACATCTTCTCCAAGCTGAACTATCCAAGCAGTTTTTGCTTTTGTAGATCAGAGAGAACAAATAAAACAATCAACCGACAGTTCATTTTTTAAAAAATTGATAGGACTTAAAACTTTAAGCTGCAATTCAATCAATATAACTTGCTACACAAGAACCATACTCTCAGATCCTTGTGCAGTAAGAGAGAAAGAACTAATATTACATATTACCTATTTCTTCCTGAAATTCCTCAGTCCTCAACTCCCATCATTTTTTCAAATATTTCATTCTCTCTACCAATTAGAATTGAATTAGAATCTACTACATTACTAAAAGAAAAAATAAATATTTCAAGAGACTTTAGAACCTCAATCAATACATTTTGTGAAAATACTTGAAGGGGAACATGTTAGGGCCTTAATACATTAGTTATTAATTACTAACAAAAGATGAAATGAAAGGGGTCTCAAAGTACTAAAGTTTTTCTCCCTCTACTTCAAACTTTTACCTAACCCAAACCTAGGCTCACCTACAAAGTTTTGCTTTGGTCTGAAAACAAGTCTGTCTAGTGTGGATTTAAATTTAAGTCTAAATAAATGAATTTTATTTTCTACCCAAAGCTATTCAAATGATGTGTATAATTTATTAATTTTTAAATCTTAAGTGATATGCTTGTAAAAAGTATATTTTAATACATGATGGTGAATCCCAAATGTATAAAATCACAAAACATTAAGATGTTCATGGCCTTTAATTCAGCAAATACATATTAAGTTTTATTATGTGGAAGGTGCTGGAGACAGAAAGACAAAAAACTCATCAGTCCTTGACCTAAAAGAGCTTACAATCTACTAGTATAAAATGTTTGTCAACCGTTCAGTTCAAAAACTCTACAGATTCACAGGCTAAATTCAAACGATATCAGATTTCAAGGAAGTAAGAATGTTAAAACAAAGCTATGGCTCACAGTACTAACTAGACTAGACTTCTCCAGCCACCTAATACTCATTTGTGAGAGTGATCAGTTATGCTTCTCTGTGTGACCTTTTACTGAATAAAGTTATTACTGTAGCCACATACATGATAAATCCCCAAATCAGCCAACTTTTGAGTTTATCAAATTCAGTCATTGCCTCATTCTCTATTCCCAAAATACACACTTCGGAATTTCAGGAGAGTACATACACTGCCAGAAAACACAATTTCAGCTGGAAGAATGAAAAAGTTACCCAAGCTGTAGCACGTCAAAAGTAGTGTTTTCAATAAATAAAGAAAAAGAAATTTTAAATCAAAATGACATACACTTTCAAGAAGGTGCCCCCCCCCCACAAGTACACATCTACACACATCTACACACACACACACACACACACACCCCGTCCCCGTCCCCTGTCCCCCCCCACCCCGCTTCCCTAAATCTTTCCTCTTTTCTGCTCTTCATTTGTAGGGGGAAGAGATCTGAACTGCTGAAGTGGGGTACCAGGGTTTGAAACAAGGTGAGAAGGGTTGGAATTGGTCTGAAAGTTGGCTGACTTTTTTTCCCTGGGAAGGCTGACAAGAAATGTTTGAAATGTAGGAGTGAACAAAGTTGAGCAGTAACATTACTATTTGGTGTCTAGTCAAACAAAACGATAGAAAATGAAAAGGTTTCCCTTCCCAAGTACTAAAGAACTTACACACTGGATAAGACCATGTTCTAAAAACAGCAAAAATCATATATAAGACATATTTTCCACTTATAAGACAGCAACGATAGAATGTACAGCACTGAGATTATCTAGTAAAATCCCTTCAATTTATAGATCATGAAACTGAGGCTCAGAGAAGGATTAGGTGACTTGAACCAGGTAAGAAGGGTCAACTAGTTAGTGTCATAGCCAGTTACCCATGACCAGCCTAGTTAAGTTCCAGAATGAAACTGATTCCAATGTTACTGCCAGCCTACTCCACAGAAAATATGGTTGATACTAGATGCCATTTATAGATAATTTTTTGGTAGCCAAATCAAGGATGTTATCACAGGACATCAACTAAAATTTGAAAAATATCTTTATAATTATGAACTTCTTGAGGGCAAGACTTGTTTGTTTCATTTTTGTTTTCATCTCCCCAGCACCTAGTACAATACCTGGACATAGCAGGTACTCAACAAATGCTTGTTGATTTGATTTCTCCTTGTAATACTATTGTGGAAATAATTAGTATTTAAAAGTTAAGATATTGTATTAATTTTTAAATGCTTTAAAAATGGATATTTAGATATATCTTATCTTCTTAAAACCTAGTAAGTTAGACTTCCAAAAACTAAGCTATAGCAATTTAAAATAAAAACCTCTTTCACTTTCCAAAGAATATTATATTGCTCACAGGTTACAAAATACTGCCCCTTAGCAGAGAACATAAAGACAGCGTACTTACTTTTTAAAAATATATACAGTATATTTGGATATTATTAGGGGTTTTTTCCATTTTGTTTTAAAAGATCAATTCCTTATAGTAATCATTTTTGGAGGGCAATTGAAAAAGTCTCATCTTCATCTAAGTCAAATTCTAAGCAGCTCCAAGATTTTAACAAAGCTCTTCAAAGACCCAAGTAAATTAACTTTACTGTCATATGTGTATCCCTTTAAATAAGCACATAGACTTGCCTGAAAGACCTTGAAGTTTTTCCAAAGCTGTGTGTGGTTATAAGTACATAATAGGTCCCCAAATAATAGCTAATAGCCTTGAATAGCAGGTGATTGATCTCATCTTTTCTCCTTCCCTTGAATGTTCTTACATCATTCCTCTCAGGCAGCTGGCCTTAATTTTTTTTCTTAACCTGTAACTCTTGAGTACTGCTATATTTAATAAAAAATCTATGACTTTAAGAATGCTTTACAGGTATTCATTAACATAAACATTTTGAGCAGCAATAAAATAGTACAAATGACTATGTAGCAACAATATCTTAAAATCCGGAAAGTCTCTCTTTGGTTTCCACTACCAGGTGTTTTCTTAATCATTAGTTTTTTCTAAGTCTCCTAACTAGCTGAATTGGATTGACATTCTGCTTTATCCCATTGAAAAGAAAAAATGTAAATCAGGATTTCAATATTTCCAAGCATTTCTTAAA